CCTCTCTTGCAGTTTGATGGGATCTGATAAAATCCATTAAGCAGTAAAAGCATTTACTCCAGTTCATTGCATTGTTTCCATTCTTTCCGTCTGACCCATTCCACTGGAAGTCTTGCACTTCTTTCATAACCATGCTCACAAAAAATTAATTTTTTTGTCAGGAAGATATAATGCCATTCTCCGTTAAGCCTGTCACGATAGATGTGACTCATGCCATGCCATGGCTCATAAGCTGGACAAATTTCAATTTTCGAAGGAAAAATAAGCCTTTCTGTTTCTCTTCTCAGAATGAGAAACAGAAAGGCTTATCTCAAAACAAAACAAAAAATGCTACGGGACTGTGAAGGCCATACTCTCAGTTGCAGAGGTATCAGTGCCGACTCGTGATATCCAAAAGTAGTGGATCGTCAATGGAAGCAGAGTCAGCCGAGGCTTACCCTACCTCCATTGAAGATCCGTTACCGCTGAATATCACGAACGGTCCATGGGAGGTTTTAGGTGGAAGGCGTCAGACGGGGATGAAAATCCACTCCATTTGAGTCACTTTCGCAGCTCCAACGCCCTGTCCTTCCTCGTACCAATCCATTAGAAGGGCTCCTGACTTACGCTGAGTCATGCCAGAGTTAGAGGACGTAATCTAATTAGGGAAATGAAAGACAAAGAAAACTTTCAATTTGAATAAACCGGTCGACTGCTCGGAAGGAGAACTTCGGTCGACATTCGTCGTTCATTAACCTTCATCAGACGAATGTCACAACTGCTGTGCCACAGAATGCATTTTTCCATCACCAAAAGGTACAACTGCTGTACCGCAACTTTTTGGAAGAATGTTCTGATATTAAGTGAATAATTGCTCAGTTGGATAGTGTTTACGTCTTTACGAGCTTTGTAGAAAATATCTGGCTGTGAACGCTTACGCGGGAGATTTAAATCCGTCCTACAAAGGTTAAGATCAAACGAAAAAGACCACTAAGGTAGTATTGTTAGGTGAGCATCTCAAGAGCAGTAAAAATCATTCTCAGAGCACGGTTGAGTCTACCCATGACCACCATTTTTCTATAAAATGTCTTTGGGTGTGGGGGTTGAGTAATGTCTAAACGTTTCTTTTGTTCGGGAATTTCTTGACATTGTCCCTTTCATTTCCTACGCTTTGCTATCTGAAAGTGATTGTATTGATATTTTCCCTTTCTTTCCTGTAAGAGCACTACCAAATATAATTAGAAGTTATTATAAGACAATATCACGACTATTCGATTTTGCAAGTGAGATTTTAATTAATAATGTAAGGTACTACTATAGATTACATGCCATGCTATCATCTTGCGATTGACGTCAAGGACGTGAATTTGAGCTGCACCCCATGGCTCTATCAATACATGAGGACTCGACGAATTTATCTTCTCGATAAATATATCTCTTCTTGCAGTCTTCTCGCCTTGAAGAGGAGAGAGTTCGCCAATTATTCCAATGAAATGCTTGACGGAGAGCGAAGGGAATTTGTCAGTGGCAGTGACCGGTGCCAGGAGCATCCCGAATCGCTTCTCAACTCTAGATCTTGAGTCTTGCATCGTGGATGATACGAAGCTATGGAGATTGGAATCGAATCAAAGTCTAAGGTGCAAGAAGCAGATTTGCCTTTCAGCGTTAATCAAATAAAATTATGTTCTTGTGTGAATAATTCAACAAGAGTCCATTAAGACTTCATTAAGATTTGAAAGAGTCCATCGTGTGGGCATTAAGGGTTAACCCTTAATGCTCACGTGATGAAAGTATTTTTAAAATTTGAAAATGCATATTCTGTATCCTTCTGAGTTAACTTGAAGTACTATAGGGTGTTCCGAAAGTTTCTGACCCACCCGCACAAAATATGGCTAAATACTGTCAGCCACTGTGAAAACATCCTGCTTATCTACAAACGCTATATGAAGATTCGGGCGATCTGGTCAGATCGAGAAAAGACTGTGCTGATGCAGAACGGAGACCCATAGCACTCAGTTTGCTTCGCGTTCCACATCATTACCAGGACTATGGTACAGGTCTAGAAGAATTGACCAGGAAACTGTCCGGACCTCAACACCCGGAACACTCGTGGTGCAGGTTCCAGCAGAGTGCTCTGCGTCAGCTCCATCCCATAAACCAGGTGTCAGTTGTTACCAGGGTTCTAAGTGGAGTGAGAAACCAACGCGACGAGTGTCATCTGTCGGTTGGTTCTGAACTTCGGTAAGGTGATCTGAGGTCCGCGGAAGTCATATCAAATATTGATGTAGGCCAGGAATGCTTTGGGTATTCCTGGGCATGTGGAATGTAATTAAATCAATATGTCCCCGTTAATCTCGTCTTCATCTTCATTTTAGTGGGTCAGGGACTTTCGGAACACCTTGTACATATGTTGGAGCATGTATGCGTAATTGCGTAATTGATAGAGTAGCTCCGAGGCTAAATTGGGCTTTAAATTATACATTTTGCATAAATTATGCATTGTGGAATGGAAGGGACGCAGCTGGTATGTAATGAACAAGATAGGTCGTATGGACTATCTGAAGTTAAGGGATAGGTTGTAGATTGTTCAAAATCCCCCCTCTACCTGCAGAAACTAAAATAAAATAAAAAATCGGAAATGCATAGAATCGTTTAAGACTAGTATGATCCTTTGTCTTATACTGCAGCGTTCTTCAACCACTGTTACGCATACAAATACTACAGTCATTGTTGGTGGTTCAGTTGAAGCCTTGGGCTTACCGGCCCTGGTGGTAGTTGGTGCAGTTGGCTGATAAGGTAGAACATCACTGCTCTTCAGGATCTATAGGAACCCTATAAGTAACTCATTGGATCCTATAGGATTCATCCAAATCCGATAAGATTTCGATCGACGTACTCTGGGATACTTAAATTCATGCCGAACTTGGACGTGATTCTATTGAATAGGGTATTTCCTTCCCTCAGAATGCCTCCTAAGACGAGCTGAGTTTCCTGTCCTCCACATAGGATGTCTCATATGACCGCTAGTTCCCAATAAGAAGTCTCTTAGTGCACCGTAAAACGTTTTGAAAGGAGTGAGGAAATGATCTCCATCCTCTATCCCAATTCTTTCTGCAGGATCCAGCTTTTAAAGAGCCTCAATTAAAGGCTTTGCAACTCGTATGAGGGAAGTGCATCTGCTGCAAGGAAGATATGGGAATGGGTACTAGACAGCAGACTCCAGGTAAGGGTAAAGTGCAGAGGTTATTGCCCTGCTTATTATTATTATTTTTCTAAACACGGGATGTGCGGTAGATGCACAAAACAATGGAATTTTCCAAAAACAAAGCAGAGAGAGGAAGTACGTGCCTGCCTGGCACGGACACCACAACCGATGTCATTGTCTCTCCGACGGGGAAGCCCCGACAATTTAGCTCACCAGCTACATGTGATTTTGAGGGCTCCCACGATCGTAACTTTTAAGGATATGGCAAACATAACAGCTGTAATAGACAATTATGGAAGCAAATCCACCAGGAACATCACAAACAGCATCAAAAAGTATCTTCCATAACAAGTAGGAGAGTTTTGAATTGAAGCCAAGGTTATGCTAGTACTTTAGATAAGCTTAAGGTTTGATTTGCGCGGAGCCATCGTCGAAGGAGAGAGGAAGTGCCTGAGCCCTTTTTGATTTTTCCACCCGGTTCATGCACCTCTACGGACACAATGAAGCGTTAGAATGAAATGTGTTCTGTGTTCGGTCATGGAATTTAATAAGTGCTTGTGGCTTCTGAGCTACTGGAAGCATTAAAGGGTTAGCATGGTTTCAACGCTGAAAGACTCTGAATCTGATTCGGATCACCTTGAATCCTTCTCGACGAATCTGGATTAAATCTGAATATGGCTCGGGTTATTTTTTAGTCTTATGTAACTTCTGTAACTGTACGACTTCTTATGTAACAAAATGTTCCACCTGAACCATGAATTAAGGATTAATCAATCTCTCATCAACATTAATCAACCTCTCAAACAGTGAAATTTATTATACTTTCTTCTCTACTGTGTATATATATTTTTATTAGTCCTACAAGTCTCAGACCTGTTCCCCATGTTCGAAATATCATACATGTGAGCAGAATATATGCAAATTGATTTTATTTTTTTTTGCCTAGAGCAAACAACACCCCCTTGGGACTTACTTTTTTCTATAATCCGAATTCGGAGGCCTGAAGCCAAGAAAGTTATAGGAAATGCGAATCCTCTCACGAGGATGCAGTCACTCGTTTTCCTTCATTCGATTAAGGCCGTTGCGAGAGAGCGATTTCCCGGAGGCATTCGCATTCATCCAGATCCAGAGAACGCATGGAAAACCACATCTCTTGGAATGTGTCTTCCTCGAAAGCTTTTGCGAATCTTTTCATTTCGGAATGACCTTACCCTGCAGTTATGGATTGAATGGTGTCCCAATTCATGATGTATGCAATTTGTCACCAGTTCACTCGCATACTTCCCGGAATATTGGATTCCAAGCGAAAGGCAGACGTAGAATACCTTCGCATGGTGTACAGAATCAGGCGCTGAATTGAACGCCTTCATGTGAAGAGACTGGACATTTTAACTCGCTACAAGGGATCATAAAACCTGAAAATGCAGTGAGTCTTCTCACTGAGAATTCCAAGGGACGCATTTATACGCGGGTAATGGAATTTGTTCAGAATCTAATTACGTGCGTAATCATGGAAAAGACTGCAGGGGTAGCACAATCTTTGCGGCCGTAATTCACTCTCTACACTTGGGGAATGATTTATAAAATTCTGTATGGAATGACATCTTGAGGTGTGAGTGGACGCCGCCATACCACTTGACTCTGTCCAATCAGTTTTCAGTTTCTGTTTTTCGACACTGCATGGTGCTGGCATGGATTAAAAAAAAAAAAGTCATCGCCCAGGCTGCATGTAAGGTCTATCGGAGGGAAGATGGGCATCGTACAGTATGGGCATTGTATTCGAATAACGGTAAAATTCCCTCGCTTGTATTTTGCAATGAATTGTCAAACGAAGGCTCGATTGAGTCTGTCGGCAGTTCCCACCTTGGACCAAGCCGAAACGCAATCCTACACACGAAGACTCATCGACCCGTCTGACCTTGTCGTGCGAGACGGACCGTCCCTCACGGCAACAGAGGACGAATGGATCGCGAGAGTCATCAAGGGAGTACCCTGTGCTAGGAACTAGAAGGTCGATAAAGGCACTGGGGGGAGGGAGACGGAGAGAAGAGATCGATGAGACGGGAATAGATGTAATAGAAGTCTCCCCCCCTACCCCTCCCCGAATAGAGGTGAGCCTCATATTGATTTGGCCCCCCTTCACCTTGACTCCCAGCACAGATATGATCCCCACATAACAGAAGCAATCTGACACTCACGGTCTTTCTCGTCTCGTCTTTCTATCCTGTGATTACATGCTTCATAGTGTATAATTCTCCTATCCGCTGCTTTGATTAAGAAGCCCCTCATCAAAGCCTCTCATCTATTTCTTTTCACCAGTTACCTCCCTCTTACAAGGAATTCTTTTTGTCACTTGAGCCCCTTGTGGGAAGAGTCGGTAGGAATGATCCCGCAACGCTGCGATAGTGCAGCGGATCCTCTGGCTGGCGTGACTGGTGGCAATGAGAGTACGAAAGAGCACTGAAATATGCATTACCAGCGAAATGCCTCTCCATTGCAAGGGAGAATAAATATTTTCTCTTTTCTTTGGGGAAAGCATCGCCATGTTTGATATCGAATAGCTGAGAGAGGTAGGTAATTATTTCAATGCGGACTGTGTGCGGCCCAGATTTGAGCTATTCCGATCCGCAATTACATTAACACAGCAAAAAAAAAAATTAGTGAAACAGAAAAATAGACCAAGACGTCTCTGCACAACAAAGCGTGGACGAAGGAATCAGCTCAGGAAATATCAAGGTGGAGATCTGAGCAAATTAAAGAAAAGACAAAAAGAAGTTGCTCATCTCCGATGCAGCTCGCGGTTCTCTCGTGATTGGTGGCAATCGAAGAAGAAAAAAAAATATAGGAAGGAATTGCTGGGGCTCCGACCTCCGAAATTCCAGGCTCCAAACTCGGTTTCGCCTTTTCGAATTCGCTCCTTCTGATGGCTCCGACAGAGTGTAGAGGCGAAGACATTGGATTGCAGGGGGGGGGGGGGGCTTCAGATCCGTACTTGGCAAGAGTAATTAGGAATTCGCTTCTGGAAGACGAGTTTGTGGAGGGTTTCTTACGTCACTCCATTTCTCGGTCAATTCGGAAGCCGATCTTACGGACTTGAAGGTTGAACCCAAAAATGGTTTTAAAACTTCTGGAAGTGTGTCTTAACTTCCGATTTTTCGTGACAGCTGAAAAATGGAAAAACAATCATTTTGAAGGAAAAAAAAAAGCACCCTGACCCTGGCACCATCCCCTTTTCCTTATTACGAGATCGAATAGGAGAGGATGGGAATGGAGAGGGAATAGAAGAAGCAATAGCAAATATCAAACGCCTGAATCCCTTGATTGCGAAGAACGTGATCGCCTGATTGCTGGTTTCATCTTGGAATCCTGGATCAAGGCCTGCGGAGATATTGTTTCCTCTAAGAACTCCCCTAGCGCCTTCGTCTACTTCCGAACTCATTGCACTTAAGCCCTCCAGTACTCCGTGCGAAAAAAGGAGGAAAATCCGCCCAGAAATAGCCTCATTTAGACTAAGAATACCTCCGTGGCATCCAGGGAAATTCTTTTCTTTCCGCTGTAGTATTACAGACAGAAAGACATCTCTGTCTGTAATACTATAGACTGTCTGTAAGATTACTGTCTGACTCTTTTATATGAAGGGTAAGGCTCAGTCTGAAAGAGGCAATTCCTGGCCGGATTTCATTCTTTCCAGTGTAGCAAAGAACGAGATTCATTTTTCTAGTTCATTAAGATTAAAGGGGGGGAGGGGCACCTGATCTGCAATGCTTGATTTGGTGTTCGATGTTATGTCATATTCAGGTCTACCGTGCCCAGAGAAGTTTGCAGCAATAATCAGCACTGAGAAATTAGTAGTTGAAATGCATCACGACAATTTGCAGCATTGTGATCCCTTAGGTTATGGAAGACGGAGACAAGAAAAGGGACAGGTGTGAAGGTCAAGACCCAAGTCCACGAGCACTGAGAAAGCGCATCACGTTCAGCTTCGACGACTCCTCTTCGTCTGAATTGAACTCCAACAACTGTCTCAGGGTCGAAGAGAGGAATATCGTTTTGAAGTCTCCGATCATGGCGTCTCATCGAGAACTGCTGGGTTCCGGTGGGAACGCGGACAGTTCGTCGGACGAAGACTTGGCTGAAGGAGCCGAAGACGACGACGAAGACGACGAAGACGACGAGGACGAGGCTCGAGACGTTTTCCCCATCGAGAATGGGGGGTTCGAGGCGACCCAGCGCAACTCCGAGCAGGTGCGACGGGATGCGACGCAGCGCGACCCCGAGCAGGTGCGACGGGATGCGACGCAGATCGTCGAAAGAGTCTTGTCCTTGGCGCAGGAAGAGGTTCGGCGACGTCGTGAACTGGTTTGTCATTGGGAAACTTCTTTTTTTTTTAATACTGCAGCTTTCAAAATAATAAGTTATATGATCGACAACTACTCGGTTGCATTTCAAAGTTCAACTGAAGAATTTAATATAATTTCGACGCTGAAATAGATATTTGAGGAAATTGTAAAGTACGATAAGAGAGACATTCCATTTTCTTCTCTTCTCTTTAGCAACTCGAGGAAGAAGGAGAAGGGGATATCGAAGAGGAAGAGCCGAGAAAAACGAGGAATTTTCCTTCATCGGGTCACGGATTCCACGGGAACTTCCGGCCTCCCCTCGGGGAGCGGATGGCCCCACTGTTGAGGACCCTCAGCGGGGGTTTCTCACGCGCCCTCCTCCGATTGGTCGTCTGCGGCGAGGGAATCCTTCAGCGGCGACACACGGACCTGTGATACCATCCCCAAAGGCATACCTTCCGTGTCCTTCACTCTTCGGTGTTTCCTCGAGCAGAACTCAAGATGCGATGATGTTCGAATTCGGTGCACGTTCCTGGCACTTTCGGCGATCTGTGTGGTTTTACCTTCGAGTCGTAGATGGCGTCATCAGGGACGAACTGCCGTCGGATGCAAAATCCGATGTGACGATGATTTTCAAGTCAGTCTTCCACACTGGAACTTAAAATCAACCGGACATATCGCCATCTTTGAATATTTTTTTCCTCGAGTTTCCTGTCGTATTCGTTTGTTAGCAGTAATGTAGGAAAGGTAAACGACGTTTTGATTTCACACCCGTGAGAAGTACCAGGGTAAAACCGAATGAAAGCGGTAAATAATTTTGTGATCTTCCAGCGTTGTGAGTGGCAAACTACTCCTCAGCTTCTGCCGACGTAGCATCAACTGATGAGCATCTCAAGGATTTAGTTGCTGATGACAGGAAACAAGTCTATTTGCAGCGGAATATTGCTCGATGTCAGCCAGCCTTCAAGTGTCTGTGAAATAAATGGTGCGACGTATTTTCTAGGCAACTCCTTCGTTTTCTTCGGATCCTCGACCGACCCTTTTGTAGGCAAATCTAACTCACCGCAACATGAGAGAATTTGCAGCGTAACGAGGCTCTTTCCCCTAGTATCCACACTGAAATGCCTCGGGAATTCTGTCTCAAAAATAGCCAAGCTAGTTAGCTGAAGCAGATTTAAAAGAAAAAGGAGAAAGAAAAAGGAGCACGGAGATAAAGTCTGGGGGTGGATTTTTGAACAGCACTATCCGATAATGCAACTTTATTTACCGGATTTATAATGCATTTTCTCTGTAATAAAGCCGCACTATCGGATAGTGCTCTGTTCAAAAGTCCACCCCGAATGTCTAAGAGGTTGTAACTTGCTTCTGCCTTTCGGTAACGAGAAGGAAAAAGAAATCCACAAAGCTACTTTCACGATTGACTTTCTCCGTTCCAGAAAGGCTTTCGTTCGATCAGAACGAGGCCACTTACGATTTCATCCCGACTTGCACTCGGTATCCATCAAACTTTTTCTATTTGGTTTGCATTTGAATAATGTAACGTCTCAAAAGTTGACCGATGGATCAAAGTGGTTCCACGGAAGTCAGACAGAAATGGAGATTGGGATCTCTAGAGAGAGGCCGAGCCTCTCGTGTTTCGGTGATTCCGTTCGCCCCCGGATCTTCGTCCTGGGTTTCTTTTATGTCTTTTGGGTCTCCTACCGTCCGAATCGTTTCTTATCCTCCGATTAACGATATTAGGGGCGATCAGAACCTTACCAACTTTCTTCCGATCTTCTAACAATTTTCCCCCGCTTGGGATTGCAAGTACAGGTCGTAAGTAACACTGGTTGATAGCAAGGTTCACTATTTTCGGCTTTCCGTCATCATCCGTGCATCAGAGAGAGAGAGAGAGAGAGAGAGAGAGAAACTACTTGAAATTCCGAACCCAAGGGCAAACAGGAGTATGTCTGAGATAAAAGCCCCTCCTTCCCTTTCGAATACATTTCTCTGCTGACATAATTAGGTTCCCCTTGCCTCATTAAACCCTGGAATCTGATATAATTATCTTATGTATCCATGAAAAGTCATTCTAATGACTTTTCTCTTGGGATTCTCCTGGGTTAGCTTGGTGCATGTGCAGTGGAAAGACTAAACTCAGTGTTGATGCATCGGAGCCCGCACCAACTCACTTTTCTGCATGGTTCATGAAATTTCACATTTTCGTAGGACTAGCCTGGAACTGGAATATTCCGAAAATATGATAAATTTCGGACTGGGTGTAGAAAGCAGGGAGTTAAGTTACATTTCGGCAGCAAACGCGTTGGAGGTCTAAAATATTTTCGTCTCTTTGGAATGTCCAAAATTGTGGGCTCCGACGAGTAACAGGCACATTGCCCGACAGGCAATGAAGCTGCAGCAGTAATTTCTCGGAGAGCATCCTCATAATTTATTCTTATATATGTATTTCTTTTATTCTCCTACCGCTGGATTCTGCTTCTCATACTTTCATGAATCTGTGTCCTCGAAGGACGTGGATGATAAAAAAAAGGGCCTATAAATAGCTGGAGTTCATTCTCCATGCAATGCATACATGAACGCCGGAGTTTGGAAGAATGAGACCAATCTCCCCGGGTCTCTCCTTCTCCTCCCTTGCTTTCTCCCCGGGGAAAGAAAAATGAGACCATGCAATCGCCTGGATGGCTCTCAAGAGTACGCGACTCCATTTTTTTTTTATCGCGCGAGCCGACACAAATGTATTCTGCAATTCTACTGCGAGTCGTAATTTAGCTGAATACAGCAGTTGATTTGACGTGAATTTGTCCTGGAGGTCATTCCGCCTCAAAAAAAGTTATAAAAATATGAAAAACGAAACCTTCCAGAGGGACTCGATAAAGGCGGATGAAAGATCTCCTCTACAACACTGATAGTACTTAATAATTCCTAACGTGAAAAAATGCCAGGGAGAGAACAAGTTACTGGATATACAAAACAAATAGTCGAATATAAACGGAGTGACTTCACAATTCTACGGGGTTTCCTTTTTGCCCTGAAGTACTGATGTCATGTACCCCCGTTGAAAGGGTTCACCCCTTCACCCCTTGTACTTTCTACGCCCTGGGCACTGTCTGACCCGACCTGTTTTCCCCCTTCAATAGCGGTGGCTCATCCCACCCAAAGGAGAGTCACCAGAGAGTCCCCTGGAAATGTCATTTGGAGTCACTATTCACATTCTCCCAACTTCGTTGCAGCATGTCCTCGAGTCCGTTAGTGCACAACCGTCTGTCCTGCACTTGAGCGCAAGGACCCGAATTGGTTTTCTTATAGCCTTGGAGAAATAGACCTACGTGGACTCTGGAAGTTCTCCACTCAGTCCTCCCAAAGGGTCTCTTCTCCTGGGGAGACATGCACCGGATCCGTTTAAGCTAAATTAATCTGATCTCACTATGGGAATCAGTTTAACAGAGATAGGGTGACATGCACCAGATCAGTTTAACTTTAAACTGATTCGTTTTCATAATGGGCGTCTATGAGAATAAGTTTACCTCTGTTAAACCGATTCCTATAGGGGGCCATTGCGAAATCAGATTAGTTTAGCTTAAACGGATCCTGTGCATGTCACTCATAAACTTATTCCCATAGACGCCCATTATGAAAAGTATCTGTTTAAAGTTAAAGGAATCTGATACGTGTCACCCCTAGACTTCTCCCCGGCACTTCTCTCTGCTGCATACAGCGCCAATACTTGCTGGCGTCCTCCGTTGGAGGATTATGTATTTCCCTTGAACCGTTTTTTGGTGCGTGATTATTAAATTGTTAGTGCATCCATCGCTCAGTCACTTGCCTCGCAAACTGTTCACGTGGTCACGTGGTCATCAACGAATCCCGCTACCGGTCTCTCTTTGCATTGGCTACGTACACCGGCAAAGCGGCCCGTGTGACACTGATATGGTGGCCCTTAACGTGGGCCTGCATCAAAAGAAGCAAAAATGTATTCGATGGCACTTACTGAGGCCAAAACTTACAGGTGGAACTCGCAATAAATATTGTGCAATGATAAAATTGAAAGAAGAAACAAAAGGTGGGAATCCCCGTGGAATACGAAAGGAAAATTAACTCATTCCTAGGATAATGATACATTTAAATAAATTTAGCTTCCTGAGACGGGTGAGATGGGAGTTGAGCAGTACTCAGAATCATAACTCAATCTTACTCAAAGTCCACTCAGTATCTAGTGTACTGCTAAGCCCATCAACAAACGTGGAAAGCAAAAAAGCAAAAAAAAAAAGAGATTGTCCTGCAAATGTTTTGTTTCTTTTGACAGCAATCTCGGATGAAATACATGGAAATCTCTTCGACATGAAAGAAAAACGGAAAAAAGTTTTTCAAATTGTTTGTCAGAAACAAGTCCAATAGTGCCTTGGAAATCTACTTCCCTCTTCGGCGAAATTCAAGCCTGCGTTCGTTTCCTCGATCGCCTGAGAAGCTAGCGTCATATTTGACGTCGTGGGCGGTTAATGGAGAAAGGTCGGTCGTGGAGTTCAACCAGCGTTTCTCGGAATGAGGATGGCGTCGCTCGCTTCCGACGTGGACGTCTGGGAAGGAAAGCTCTCATTTGTGGATGCGCGAAACGCCTTTGATTCGCGGTCTCCCTCCAGCAGGACGCCGATCGATTCCACGACTTCACATTTTAAATCGAAAGGAAACGAGAGTTTACGCCCGGACGGGATGCTGTGGGCCCACCCATGCGCAAAAGACAGTCAGACGGAGCAACTGTCTGGATTGCGATGTCACGCTGATAGACGGGACGAGATGCCAAATCTCTCTCGGGACAACATTCTCGTTGGCAATTAGCCAGAGACAAATTAGCTGCTTGGCTCAGCTTTTCCTTAGGATTACAAAGATGAAAGTCGGATTTTTAAAGCTGGCCTGATGATGATTTTTAGGATGTTCGAGGGTCGAGTGATTTGGAGTTCTTCCTGCGATGATCGTGTGATTCTGTTGCTCGAAACTCCGATCATTATCCTCGTATGTGAATTTTCTTTCTCGGAGTTCTATTCTTGGGAGATTCGCTCCTATAAATAATATGATTATTTTTAGCAGCGCAGGAGTCATTGCACCATCGAGGCGGAAGCTCCACTTGTTATCTCTTGAATTCTATTTCATGGGGAAATTAGATCAATTGTACAAACGCATACGTCGTCTCGTAGATTGCGCTCGTTTCCACGCCAGTCTTTCCTGGCCGTATTCCTGCAAGTGTTTTTGGCCTTTTGGATGTCTCGAAACGGGGAAGGATCGGCAGCTTCTGCCAGTTGCATGGCCGGCCGATGATTGCATGAATAATCGTTTGTACACGCACGGAAATGCTAAAGAGTAAGATGTCCCATTCTCGTCGGGAGAATATTTCTATAAAGCGAAACTTGCCACGACCGGCAGTGCGCAGGATCATCGCATCTCGAGTTCCACCCTCATATTCTACGCAACAAACGAAGACACAAATAAGTAGTTAAATGAAATTAAGATGAAAAAAGGATGAAGAGCATCCAGTTTCACCTCTCCTTGTGGGCAATGCAAACGTGCCTCTCCCTGTCTTATCTCCAGTCACATGTTACACCTATTCCAAGACCATCGTTAGTCTAATTGGAATTTTGAGCTCTGAAGGCGCCAAGCCCCCTCTCCTCCTCCCTTTCTTCTTTCCTCCTCCTCCCCCCTCCTCCCCTCTCCCCTCTCCCCTCTCCCGGGTAAGAATAGTGATGCGAACACTATTCCTTTCCCAATTGCGCCGGCTTAGGGCGACATTCCATGGATTAAACGGCACTTCCCAGGTCACACGTTAGCGACTGGGCTCGATTGCACTCGTCTGAAACCCCCTTCTGTCTTCGCCTCGACTTCATCCCGTCGAGAATTTAATGCTTCGCTTCGGCATTCGATTCGGATGAAGCGACTCCGTGCGCTTTCGCACGAGTGGGAGATCTGGAGTTCCTCACGAAAGACGTCTCGCTTCGATGAAGCTTTCGAATAGCAGGGAATGGAATTCCTATCCATCTCCTTCGCGTTTCAGGTAGATGACTTTCAAGGCGAAAAATCTCACTCCTCTGTCCTGGCCACTCCAACAGTTACGGCAATCCACCATTTTGGTGCTAATTTGACAGCGTGTACGCCTACTGCCTTATTGCTTGCATGCAACGCAAGAAGCAGCACATCCGTGGGGCGAACTTTTTCTTCTTGGGGTAGGGGCTGAGTAAGTGAACCTACAGAGGCCGCACTGCAAAAGAGCAGCAAGTGATGATTTGATCATTTTTATTCGTTCGTTCGGGCATTTTTGATTTATTAATTAAAGAATGAAATAAACTACGCAAAGAATGAAACGACGAAGAGACCAATCGATCGATTTCCTCTACAGCAACAGCAAATTCTACAGAGAAGATGAAAGAATGCGAAAAGCGGAATGCGGACATGGGTCGTTCGAGGAACTTCAACTCGTATTCTTTAAGTATGCAATACCCATCGAGCCGGTTCTGGTCCTACTCTTAACAGAGGAAGAAAAGCGTTTTCGTAAGAAACGGAGAAGGTGCAGAAGGGGAAGCAGAGCGAGATGGAAAGAGATCAGATCCGGAAATGGAAGTTGGCCATGAAGTCGGGGGCTCTTTCGATGATGTGCTGGAAGTCCATGAAGGACAATTTGCCGTCGTCGTCGATGTCGCTTTCCTCCAGGACCTTTTCGATGACGATGGTGATCTCGGGAGCCGTCAGCCCGTTGTTGCTCAATTGGTTCAATGCCTTCGTCAGGTCTTCCGGGCACAGGTAGCCGTCGGAGTTGTAGTCTGTCGAGGAAACGAAGGGGATTAAGAAAAATCTGACCGAAAACAGGTCGTGATCTCTCGTTTCGAAATTTCGGAGAGAATTCTAGATTGACTGCGTTGTCGTCAATGATTTCTCGATCAGATTATATTGAAAGCAAAAAAAAAAACATGTCTCCGAGCAAAGAACTCCTGCACTGATGTAGACAAGGACTGATTTCAAAACTGCAGTCCAGTTACAGTTCAGTTCCAATTCAGTTCCAGTTTTAGTTCAGTCGCAGTTCCAATTGAGATTTTACTGTGAATAGTTGCTAAGACCTCGGTGGAACTTGAGTCAGGTCACGGTCTGAACTGGAACTAGAACCGAACCGCAACGGAACTGCCGTTCTGAAATCGGCCAAGGGATAGGCGTTTGGCCTTCACTGGCTTCGCTTTCGAGGACGAAGCAAGACTCGCAGGGGACACGATGGGTGAAAGGGGATTCGTGGGGATTAGCTGATCCCGATTAGCTGATCCCGGCTCGGAACGAAGTCCAGGCGGCAGCTCCGTATTTATGCGTCGAAAACGGCAGCTCTACTTTCATTGACGAAAAACGCAGATTCATTGCACGAGTGATTTGTCGTATCCGGGGACAAATCTTCATATGGCTTCGCCTGACCGTTTCAGGAACTATGAAAGATGATAAAATGAAAACAAGAGACGCCGTGACGGGACGATAAGACGTCTCTACCCTGCTGGAAAAAAAAAACTCTCAAAACTTTCTCATGAGAAACTCATGAGAAAGCTGTGAGGTCTCTGGTAGTAGAAAGTTGTTAATGAATGATTCAAAGACTCAGGCTGGCGTGAACCAAGAGAAATTCTTGATGAACTCCGAGAAAACTCTTTGGATTGATACTCATTTGCCATTAATTGGGAATAAGCTCGCGGAAACCATCTGCAAGAGACGATCAACCCAAATAATTAATTTAGGTGGATGAGGAATCCCACGTGGTCCTGATCGATGTTTCTCACGGCGAGAAAAATAAATGGCCACGGGGAAATACCAAGTGATGATGAGTGAAAATGCTAAACTAATAATAATAAGATAGCATGCTGCGGCCAACGCATGTGAAGTCTTCCGTGAAGAACGAGGCTTCCGTCTAGGTGCGCCGCTCTTCAAAAAGGCGGAGGAGCAAACAATGATCTCGATGACCAGGAAGGACATAGCTCGAGTGTTTCTTCCGTGCCTCTAGCTACTTGGCAATTAAAGGTCCTGCGTTTTTGTGATTGATGTATATGTTAAAAGTCAGGACTGTTCTTTTTGTAGAATGGGAGACCCCCTCCGCCTAGTTGGTTCGCTCAGAGACATTAGATTTACCGAAGATGGATTCGCGAAGAGGAAGATGAAGATCCTGCTCATCCACATGATAAAGATCCTTCGCATCCATCTCCTTTTAACCCAAAGCCTAATGCCAAGATGAGCGTTACTTTAAAATTTGCAGAAAGAAAAATCGTTTCAGGCTGGAAAAGAAAAGGCTTGAAGTTGTTCGCGAGTGTCCGTATGCCGATCTTCTCTGCAATATGTAAATACAATATGTATTTTTTATCGTCGTCGAGCGATGGCGGTGGGAAGAGAAGGAGTGACGCACTGATCAGACTGAATAATGCAAAACCGAAATCGAGAAATGTTGTGGGGTTCTCTCATGCGACCTCTCCCCCGAACGAATCAATAAATTCATAAATGAATGATCGAACGGACGACCGGAATGCCGACCGAAAATGCGGAAGGCGATGGCAACTTTGATGTCCCTCGGGGCACTCCCGCTCAAAGTCGAAGCCAGATCCAAGAAGTCCTCGAAGCTCATCGATCCGTCTCCCGACGACGAGAAGACCTCGCAGATCCTCCGCCTGAATGGGTTCTCCTGCGTGTCGGTTCGGTGGCCACATTCATCATCGCGAAGGAGAAAAATCATTTTCCGGGATTTCAAAACATCATCTGAAACGCTCAAAGGACTTTTTTTTAATTTCCTCTAAAAGACTACGAGCAACTCCGTCGTGGAAAGTCAACGTTCCGCCGAGATATCAAAGAGAGTGGAAAAATGGCTTCCTTGATCTCTCGGCTTCATCCCGAGGCTTTTTCTGTTTGCCGTCTGGGGTGCATACGGATCAACGAAGTCGCGAGGGATTATTTCGAGCGGATTTCGGGAGCTCGTCATGCACGAAAAGGTTTCAAGAGAAGCTGATTGGAGTTTTGCGAGCGATATGCTCGAACGAGTTCGTCGCGTGAATCCGACAAAAGCGACCTTGAGCTCGTGCAGGTTCTCCATGATCCGAAGGGGAAGAGTGAGCTGATGGGCTTCTCCGTTCACCATCGTGGGAGGAATTCGATCTGGGTCCAACTGCCGAAACCTCCGGAACGCTCTGCGAAGAGAAGAGGACAATGAAGGCTCTGGCAGGAAAAAGGAAAGGACAGTGAGGAGTCGAAGACAGCGCCGTGAAGTGATTTGATGGATGCGCCGGACAACCACTTTTTATGGAGGCGGTTGTCATGGGAACCCCGTTCCCCAGAGAGCCTTTGCCATTATGTAATTAAGCCAACCGGATGGCTCTCTTGTCCTCGACCCGGGAAGCCATAAAATATGTGAAATGGATCGTCTCGACGACGGCATGGCATCATGCCTGCACGTATCCTTCCTCTTCCTCTGCCCCCCCCCCCCCCTCTCTCACTCCCGTGAAACCCAGCTCCAATTTTCTAACTATGCACGCTTTCGCTCCGGGTCTTGCACGAGAGGGATTCATATGATGATGGAAGGCATATCGGATCCCCTTCTCCCCCTTTTCCCGCGAAAGCAGCCTCATTTCGTATCTCCCTTTGTAATCGATTTCGAATCCCTCGTTATCTGCCTAGCTTCCATGGCAACCTTCTATTTTTATGAGAGACGTGAGAGTCTCAGATTTTTGATTTTCTGAGACATTTAAAAGATAGACGATAGAAGAGATAAAAACCATGGGGTTCCTCGAAAGCTCCGTTCGCACCATCATTATTAGCAATGACATCGTCGATGACATTATCGTCTCTCCGTCAACGCGGGGACTATGATGACCCTTAACCGTTCTATCTCTCGGCACACGTTCCGTATATCCGGCAATGACCAATGATTTGCCCTGTAGCTACCAGAACCCGGATGGTGATATTTAAAGCGCTTTGTTCCATCTCCTCACTCCCCCAGAATCTCTTCAAAATACTTTGCCTAATTACAACCACTTGTCTTCATAAATTACAATTGAGTATCGGACTTAACAAGTTTACGGCGCAGCCCTCAACAATGGTTAAAGAGTGCATCATGGTCCATCGGACCCAGGGCGGTAATAACAAGGTTAATTGTGAGATGTTCAGATTTTACTAATAATGATTCATGTTCATGAAGCGGATATATTTGTCCTATCGCACACCTGTGCTTGCTATAGTTATCAAAAATGTTGATAACTTTGACCGTGCGCCTCCACGAGAGGGAGGTGTTATCGAAAAGGACCCCACTTTCCCCCGACGACATTCCTGCATTCAAGAGTCATTTTGAAATATCCAAAGAGGAAAGTAATCAAAATGGATATTCATTTACAAAGGGCGAGTTTAATGCAATGATGCTTATTTTCACATCCACGATAGCTCGGTCGATATGCCGAGATGACGTGGACGCGTTCCTCCCCCCCCCCTCCCCCCCGGTCATCGACTCATCGATGCATCCTTATCGACCACTTTCCGTTTCCATTGCCGTTTCTCGAGTGGAGGTTCGTCGAGATGGAACTTTCGACGCGTCCAGGACTTCGCCCGAGGTTTTAAAAGCTAAAAAGGATGCCTTAGTCTGAGTGCCCCTAGTGCTTCATTAAATGGACTGGTGTGGATGCAGCGTATGAGCATGTCAAGTCCATATCTTTTGCATTCTGAAAAATGAAAACATCTTGCAAAAAACCGATTGATTTTTCCTAGTTATGAACTAGAAGTGCCCAATAAGCACAGGATGGCCCTTACTCCAGCCTTCTCTCTCAATAAAGTCGCGTACATGGAATGCACAATATGTCGACTTGGATCCAAATCCGTTTCTCGAAATTATACTTCCGTTTTCAAAACTATTTGAACAAATCCCAAAACTCTGTGAACTTTTCACAGAACTTAACATCCGATTTCATTGCTAACGTTTGAAAAGCGTAACTCGAAGCGCGATTATCATATCTTTACATGCCTTTTACGAAAAAAAAAACGTACGGAAAAGGATAAGAAGACCGATTCGACGGGTGCCAGTGATGGATGGAGCCTTCTGACGACAATCTATATCAGGGATGTGCAACCCGCGGCCCGTGGGTCGCATGTGGCCCCTTCAACCTGATTCTTGCGGCCCGGTAATGCATAATGGGATAACAGATAAAGTAAGTTTCTTTGCAGCCCAAGGCGCATCAAAACTTTGGTCATCCCTCAGTAACTAAGCTAGAAATAGACTGAATCCTTTCTCTTCCTTCCCCTAATTATTCCTCACGCGGGTGGCTACATATGTCTTGAGGAATGAAGGTTCTCAATGCCAAAGACTAATTTTGGGCGTTGGAATTTCCTTGGGGAGGGGCGGGGGTAAGGATCAGCACGACCTTATGCCCTCATATGTCCTGAGGGTAAAAGAGGGGAGCCTTTTCTTTTGCATTCCATGGTCCGCGTGAAGAGTCAGACATTTCCATGCTGCCCCCTACCGATAAGGGTTGCACACTATATCCTCCAAAAATCCCTCCAACCAATCATAGAGGTTTTCTCATCGTCCAGAGTCGTTAGAGCTGGATGCTCCTCGAACTACTCGTGAACTCGTCGTCGTGAGCTACTCAAATGTATCAATAGAAAGAGTTTCTTACATCGATACATCAATGCAGTTGACAGGCGGTAATGCTGACTGCTATTCAGTAAAATCCAAAATATCTGATGTTGAGTATCTGATCCGGATACAACGCCCTGCCCTCTTTTGAATGACGGCACAAATTAAGTGACTTCTCAAAATAGAATTTTACCTTATTAGGGTGTTGGAAGACTGTTATGGGCCCGAGGGGCAGAAACCGTGATCTGTTGTGGAGCAGAAATTTGAAATTCCTCATTCAACAAAGGCGAGGGGGAAGAATGGAAGGGGGGGAGGGGAAGGAGTTTGTGTGTTTTCAAGGAGCACCTCGTTCATATATCTCACACGAAATAATCTCTTGGCGGTATAATTTTTTTTTGAAAGGAGTAAATCTACGCTGGTTCGATCCTGGTTTGTCGCTATCGGAACACCCGCTGTATACACATCCACTCAACAACCGAGCCTAGATCGTGTAAGTTGTCAGAATTGAAGTTGAGGACAAGAGGATAAGTCCTCATTGTATGATCCGCAAAACAAATTTCACAGAGAAACGACGTCAGTGTATTGACACTAGCACATCGTCAGCCAGTATAGCGCCATCTATTGTATTTTAAATTTTCATACGGCATACGTGCCATACGTCCTTCACCGAAACATATTTTCCAATAGAACGCATTGCTGGTGTCCTTTAGAACGAATTTAAGGCACACACGTCAAAACTAAACGTCCTTGCGTCAAAAAGAAACACGCCTCATTGCAAGACATTGCGGAGTTTCTGGTCGGTTTCGTCTGGTGCAGCTGATATTGTGGGCATCGATCCGCGAGACTCGTCTTCCCATTCACAGCAATATATCGTCCTTCGAGTTTTCCCGAAGTTGCTTTAAGTTTTGACTCCAAGTACGTTAGAAATCGATCGTAGGACGTTCTGTTTTGACTTTTGGGGAGCGGAAATCAAATCTTGACGACAGTATGTACTGTTTTGACTTGGGTACGTTAAGTTTCGAAAGTCATCATTCATCGAGAAATCGCAGATACGTATATGAGGGCATTGTGCATAATCCTAACCTGGTCTATAGCTGCGAAAAGATCACATGGTTTCCTCAATCCTGGACGTCCAACATAGAGTCTCAGTGGTGAAACTGAAGCGGATCATGAAAATCCTTTTAAAAAAAATTAAGCTCGAAAAAAAGAGACTCATAAGTGTTCGTGACCTTTCGAAAAAAAGCTTCTTCGATGTGAAACCTAGGAGTTTTTACCTATCATTATAAATTGCGTCTACTGGGGCTTACAATTCGTTATAGCGGATGTCTTTTCATTATCATACTAGAAGCAGTGACATGCACGTGAATATACCAAACCAACTTGATTCTGAGCCCATGTGTAAGGAAGAGAAAGCCTCCTTTACGGATAGGAAGAACAGGGGTGAGCATTCCCCCTCAAGGAATTCATGTCTAGACAGAGGAAGAAGGAAGGAGAGACAAGCCAGACAGTGAAGAGTCACTTTATCTTCCCCAGCATAAAAAAGAACCACTTTATTCAGAAATTACTTTTCTCTCCAATGCCCTGCCAATCGAATCGAAGGAATGCTAATATGCTCTGCGGCATAAATCAACGGTATACAACGGTATACACTCTCTCAATTGCGTCAACCACAATTTCTCTCAAGAATGTTTCTGCGATATTGTGCCAGAGCTTGAGCAGCAACTCGTTTTCGATCTACAATGGAAACTAACAGAGAACCCAGTTGTCTCTTTACCTTTGAATCGAGACAACGTGAATTCAATGGGGTTCAAATAGGGACTGTATGGTGGAAGGAATTTGATGACACGGGATGGGTATCGGGGAATTAACCTTCGGTGAGCCATACAGTCGTCCATGATGACGACAGCTTCGTTCTCTGGCCCTATCATGGCACTCATTTCATCGAGAAAGTGTCCAAAGATTCCTCAAGTGAGATCTCTCAGGCCACGAGTGGGAGAAATCGCCGGGAAATGGTCAACGAAGCGAGTCAATTCTGAATAAAGTCGCTCGTTCTTACCATGGAGTGGAAGGAGGACATTGGATTCAGTGTCTGGTTTCTTCTCCCTCCCTCCCCTGTCTGAACAAGAATTCCTTGAGGGGGAATGCTCACCCCTGCTCATCCCATCCGTAGAGGAGGCTTTTCCTTCCTTATAGATGGGCTCAGGATCAAGTTGGTTTTGGTATATTATGTCTTCATGATTCAGGAGAGTTGGAGTTTTTCCTTCAGTCACACATTATTGTCATTTTCTTTCCGTATGATACGTTGAGCAGAAATCCATGCCAAGAAGGAATACCAAGGGTCCCGATCTATGCATTTTATCGCATGACGTTAATTCGAGTTATATAAAAAAAGAAAACTGGTTGAAAAATCTCTTTCTGCTTCTATTCCGGCCTCCTAAAGAGATATTGTAACAGGA